TTTTTGGTAACTCAATCTAATTATTTTTAGAAAATTAGTTAAGAAAGAAAGAAAAAAAGAAAGAACGAAAGAAAGAAAGAAAAAAAGAAAGAACGAAAGAAAAGAAACAGGAAAAGAAAAAAAAACTATAAATTCTGAACGTGACATTTTTACATTAGCTTTTGCGACAATCTTGTTCCTTCTATCATGTTTCTCTAAACCGGCTCTCACCCGCTTTGTTCTGTTCCTATTAACATATAGAAAACTAAGTGTTCACTTAAGAAGCCGGCTTGTGGTGTCAGGAAATATCCCTCTTATGAAGTGAAAAACAGCACATGTCGAAAAGCACGTCCTTTTAGTAAAGTATATTAGAGCGATTTTAATGTTTCGATTTTCACAACTTGATTACATCCGGATTTTGTCTTACGATAATCCAAAATTTATCAACACAGTAGAGTGCAAACAATATATCCGTGAAATATTAGTAATACTAACTTACACTATTTTATGCTAATTCTATTGTTTTCTTTTGTTTAACTAGCACTATTTTGGACAATCTAGTAATCAGTGTTTCACGGATAGAGAGCAAACAATTAATCCGTGAAACACTAATTACTAAATAGTACAAAATAGTGCTAACTAAACAATAGAAAACAATGGAATTTGCATGAAATTGTGCTATTTAGTATTACTAAAGTTTCACGGTTATATTGTTTGTACTCTACCAATGTTTTGAAATCCCACGGACTTTTCAATGATATCTTTGAATAGCTGACTCTTAAACGAGGCTAAGCCTGTGCAAATGAGTCTGTAGTCTTCGAAAATAGCGGCTTTTATGGAATTGAGGGGTTGCAAGCATTACCAAGAGAGTTAAAAGACAAAAATATGGCGGCCATTGTGGTACCGTTAACAATGGATGCTAATGAGAAATCTTTTGTTAAATGCTACCAACATGGCCGAGATGACGTAACGTGCAAACGAAGAATACGATGGGTTAGTGTAGGGTGTTTCACTTAGTGCCAAACTGAAAAATCACCAACCGGTTACAAGTATTTGATTTGAATTTTCTTATCTTTCAGATTGCTTACCACACAAACGTCGTTTTTGAATTACAATCTCGTCAGTCATCAATCAACATAAGGCTTTTAAAACAAAACGGAGTCAAGCGTAACCATTCGTCTTTTGGCTGCCCCGTGGCTAATGGCGGTCCAGTCGAGAACAGTGTGCCTGTCGAGAACTGGATCACTAGCACTAAAGAGGAGATGCAAGGACGTATTCACCTCAAGGGACAAATGATGCATATTGAGGAATGGAAATCCATGGCTTATCTGGCCACGCCTGTGTAAGAGACCTGTCATTTTTATCACCTTGGGGAGGAGGGGTCTGGAAATTTTTGCTTCAAGGTGGCAGCTTTAAAAAAAGTGCCGAAGTGTGACGTCTTCAAATTACAAATTGTGCAATACAGGTTTGAAATGTTCATATTTTAAGAGAACACACTATCGTCTACATTTCTGCCAACTTTAAGGCTGTTCCTAATTTCAGAAATGGAGATATTGGGTATTTATGCTCCAAAAAGCCAAATTCTCTACTT